ACAACAACAATCAAGTCAGAACTGAGCAGAGAGTTTACAGAGGCAGATTTACAGAGGCACAGGAGGAGATTGTGGAGGAGTTGGTGGATTCGAACTGCATGCCTTTGGGATTGCAGCACAGATTTGTAACACTAGGCCAATTTAACAACAACAATCTAAAACTATTTCTGACAAATACAAGTAGTCATGAGAATTAAAAGAGTATTTAGACCACGGCTATAAACATAAATATCTACATTGTTTTCTTGCATGCAATCAAGTTTACTCATAAGGACCCTATGAACAACAGATCTGAACCCTGTCCTATCCTGTGTCATCCTCATAATTTCTGACATACTTAAGAGCCCACTGCTACAGTCACTCTGTCAATCCATCTGGGTGAGGGTCTTCCCCTCATTGGTTGACCGTCTGCCTTTTCAAGCACAATATCCCTCTCCAAGCAATAGCCTCTCCTAACAAGATGTCTAAAGTATATGAGACAAAGCTTTGTCAACTTTGTCTCTAAGGGGCACTCTGGCTGCACTTTCTCCAAGATGGATTTGTTTGTTCTTTTGGCAGTCCATGGAATATTCAGTACTCTTTTCCAATACCACAACTCAAAGCTATCAATTCATCTTCCATCATTCCTACTCACTGCCCAGCTCTCAGATGCATATCTGAGACTGAAAATGTCATGGCCTGAATCAGGCACACTTTAATCTTCAAACTGATATCATTACTCCTCAGTAATTTGGAGATATCCCTGACGATAGACTTTCCCAATGCAACATGTCTCCTGATCTCCTGGCTGCTGGTACCAACAATGTTGATTGTGGATGCAAATAAGATGAAGATGTTGACAATTTCAATCTTGATGAAATTATTATGATGTTATTTATCGGTCCAGTAGTAAGAATTTAAAATTTTTGATGTTGAGATGCAATCCATATTGAAGATTATAAACTTTGACCTTCTACAGCAGGTGCTTAAAGTCCTCATTTTCAGCAAGCAAAGTTAAGTCATGTGCATAATGCAGACTGTTGATGATGCCATATTCTTCTTCAAAGAGTTCAGCTTCTCAAATTATTTGCTCAGAATACAGATTTAGTAGACATGGAAAAACCCTGACACACAGATTTCTTAATTTTAAAGCATGTAGTGTTCCCTTGCTCTGATCACACAATAGTTTTTTGGTATGAGCATGAACATAATTAAGTGTTCTGGGACTCATTTTCTTCTCAATGTTAGCCATAATTTGACATGACCAACACAGTCAAATGCATTTGTGTTGTCAATAAAGCACAAATATACATTCTTCTGATATTTTCTGCTTTCAGCCAGGCTCCATCTAACATCAGCAATGATATCATGGTGTCATGGCCTCTTCTAAACCCAGCTTGAACTTCTGGTAGTTCTCTGTCTATATGCTGTTCTACCCATTTTATCCATAATCAACACCATTGGCACCAGCTGGGAAAATCTGCTGTCAAAGATTTCTCCAAAGAACTAAGGAACAATGATGTTAGTTTAAAGATGAAAGTGAACCTGACTCAAGTCATGATCTTTTCAATTACTTATTGCCAATTACCTAGCATGCATCTAAAAGCTGGACAATGAACAAAGATGGCAGAAGAAAAGTCAGTGAGTTGTGATAGTGGAGAAAAAATACTGAATATCCCATGGACTGCTAAGAAAACAAGCAAATATATCTTGGAGAAAGTGGAACCAAGTTGCTCCTTAGAGATGAGAATCTTAGAGCATCAGGTTTTATCAAATTTATATCTTTATTGAATCAAGTCACTTTTATAAGAGTTCATCTCAAAAATATGAAGATCTTGTTCAGAGATAGAGCCTATCCCCATGAAGATAAGGAAATGGGCCTGACATGCATTATTAAACAACATTGGTTTCCCTGTGGTTTTTCTGATTATAAACAATCATGCTTGTTGCACTTTGAAACACTGAGAAGTATAAAGATGAAGTAAACCGTGGATAGTCCTACCATTAGGACCTATATTTATTTGTATTTTGTCAGTTTCTTCAATTATTTTTCTCAATATTTTAACATTGTTAAGGTAAAATTCCTATGCAATTTTGCATCATACTGTTCTTCTTAACCTTAAATTTACCAAGACTTTGAAAACTACATCTTAAAGAAGGTATAATGTCTCATCACATGATAATAACTATGCAAATGACACACCTCCTAACATGATACACTTAAGTATCTTACAAGTTTCATTATTATAAACAATCATATTAATTTATACATTTTATCCCTACAGTGGGTGATTTTTCTTTGGGAAAATTTCCTAGAAAGAGAATTACCAAGCCTAAGAGAATGGGCAAATGTCTTTATAAGGAGCCCTGTTCTTTCAAAGGTTAAGTGCTCAGCAGCTAATCAAAACAGCAGTAGTTCAAGTCTACCCAGTAGCTTTGCTTAAGAAAATCTTGGTGATAGCCCCTTAAGTTTACAACCTAGAAAATGCTGATGGATAAGTCTACTCTGTTCTGTGGGGTTACTATGACTCACTGGTCCCTAACAACAATAAATTATCTACATAGATATCTACACATGCATCATTCCTTTCCAGAAAAAAAAAATCATAACCATTTACAATCTTCCTGGCGAAAGATGAATTGTCTATCTCATTCTGTCTTCATCTTCATCTTCATCTTCATCATGAAGACAGAATAAGATAGACTGTCAGGGACCTCTCCAGAGTACTGAAGAGCAACAATGTCAGTCTGTGGACTAAGGCGCACCTGATCCAGGCCATACTCTTCACAATTACTTACTGTGCATCAGAAAGCTGAAAAATGACTAGGGATGATAGAAGGAGAATTGATGCCTTTGAAATATGATGCTAGAGAAAAGTATTGAATATAACAGGGATTTCCAGGAAAACGAACAGGTTCATCCTGGAGTGGGTGAAACTAGTCTGCTCCTTGGAGGCAAGCATTTTGAGACTTTGTCTGACATACTTTGGTCATGTTGCAAGGAGTGACCAGTCCTTGAAGAGGGGCATTATGCTTAGAAGGGTGGAGGGACAATGCAAGAGAGGAAGACCCTCGATGAGATTCAGCGACTGGGGTAATAAGGGTAGGTGTGTCAGAGACAATAAGTTTGGCACAAGATAGAGCAGGTTTCAGGTCCATTGTGCATAGAGTCACTATGAGTTGCAAGCAACTCAACAGCACATAAAAATAACAACACTGCTAATTTTATTAGCAAAGTAATATCTTACAGTTTCGGTTTTGGGGAGTTTTTTTTTCCTTCTTTTTCTTTTTTCTCTTTTTTTTATTAATTTCAATGAACATTTACAAAAATTTTGGATTTCCATTCATTTATTGTTGCACTTTGCAATATCTTATAATTTTAATTCATGTCTTTTCTTAGATGTAAGTTGAATATTCTTCCTATGTTTATTAACAATTAATATATTTCCTAAGGAAGTCATGTACATAGGTCCTTTGCTCATTTCTATATTGGATATTTAACATTTTTTTTTCTCAATTCATATAAATTATTTAAGTACTAAGTATACTCATTTTTTAAAAAAATGACATATAAAAATGATGATATAAAAATTTTCTACTTTCTTAAGTTGGTATGCAATTTATTCCAAAAACTTTGATTAGTCTCATCTGCTTATTCTTTCAAATAAGTCTCAGAATCTTAGAATTCTGATTGAAAATAAAATCCATTATTAAGTTTATTATTTTAATATAATTTTCCTGATATTAAATTTATAAATTTAATTCAAAATTAAATTTCATTTTCAACTCCCTTAAAATTATCTTTAATTATAAATTTTGGCCTCAATTATATTTTGGTAAATATTACAAAAAGAAAACATAACACTTGGTGGCTGCAAACAATGCTTTATTATTATCTTCTTCTTAAGTCTTTTATATGGTTGTAGAGAAATGGCACCTGGGGTCCAGGCTAAACTGGGTTAAATGTCTAAGATGGCTTCTGCATTTACAAGTCTGACTCATCAGTATTTTTCCTCATGGCCTCTCCCCTCCAGTCCAGGATCCTTCAGTTGGAATAGAGTTACCTTTGCTGTTGTCAAAGGACCAAATATGTCACCTGCTAGCACAGATTAAAGGTTCAGAGCAACACTCTTCCCTTGATGTAGACAATACAAGCAAATAGGATGGGCTGCTATCTTTGGAAGAAACCACCTCATCTACTTTTAGTGATCTTAGCAAAACTGTCCTCATAAAAATATTCTGAATTTGTAGTGTTGTTATAATTTGTATTTTTCCATTTATAGTTAATTAAATGATTAGTGCTGAAGGAAAGGAAAACTATTGCCTATGACCTTTGATGATTTTTTTTTTTATTCAGTCATAAATGGTATTGTTCATTCTAGTTACTTTTTGTTCTTGGTTTTTCTAAACAGATCATCACATCATCTAAAAAAATACGACTCTATTCTCCTTTTCAGTAATTGAATCTTATTTTTCTATTTCATGGGTATTGTATTTCTAGGTAAAACTTCCAGAATAAGACTAACAGGAACTAGCCTTGTTTGTTCCCTGCTACATAATTCATTGAAATATAAATATGTTCAAGTTGTAAAGTGGGCATTTTTAAATCAACATACATATTCCCAGAACTAAATTAATTCACTTATTTTTATGTGGCAATATAGAAAGGTACACTTGTACTTCAGATGAATTAAATTCAGAGAGGGAGAAAATGAAACAAGATTAGAAGAGTGACCAATGTATTATGGACACTGAGATAATTTCTCCCTGAAATCTATAAACTTTATGAACTTTGTAAGCAAACCAATAAAAAAATTTTTAAAGTAAAAGAAAAAAATTATAACCACAAAATATTTTATTGATTGCCACAAACAGCTAATAGCTCAAAAATAAATATAAAGCATCATAAATCCTAGCAATTACTATATTTCCAAGCTTAGCTGTTTACATTATATATAATGAATTCTTTTAAGAGCATAAATAAGTAACTGAATATAGATTTTCAGCTCTTTGATACTCACACGTGGCTGATAAGCATATGGTGGCACATAATCCTGAGAGTATGTTGTCAAGGTACACCTGAAATATGAAGTATTAGAGAACAGAATGACTCCAAAATGAACGATGTCTTCAAATTTTTGTGATACAGACTTTATATGAAGTAAAAACACTTGGGGAGAGACTGATCCTTTTAAACAGAAAAGAGGCCAATTTTTTTTTTTTTTTAGTTTTGCAAACACACTTTTTTGTTTGTTTGTTTTTTTAAATAATTTTAATGAGGCCAATTTTTAAAATTGTGATTTGAGTGAAAGTTTACAGGGCACTTTTTTTCCAATTATGCACATTTTGTTCTGTAACATCAATTACAATATACACAATGTCTGATTATCCATTCATTCCACATCGTCCTTCCTTTTATCTACCCTAATAAATATTCGTTGTTTATCAGTTAATTTTGTACTTGTCCCTCTCCCTTCGTGGTAACCATACCAGATTGATTCTCTATATATTTAGACCTTACTCTAGCTTTTTATTTCAATGCTTTTATTCAGCATTTATCCTTTTGTGATTATTTCACTCAGCATTACATCCTCTAGACTCACCTATGTTGTATAGTGTTTCATGAATTCTTTGTGGTTTTCAATATTGTGTAGTACTGGTACTCCATTACTACCAGAAATACAAGCTGGGTTTGGAAGAGGTCGTGGCACTAGGGATATTATGGCCAATGTCAGATGAATCTTGGCAGAGAGCACAGAGTACCAGAAGAAAGTCTATCTGTGTTTCATTGACTATGCAAAGGCATTTGACTGTGGGGATCACAATAAATTGTGGCTAACCTTGAGGAAAATGGGAATTTCAGAACACTTCATTATGCTTATACGAAATCTATACTTGGACCAAGAAGCAGTCCTCAGAACAGAGCAAGGAAACACTGCATGGTACAAAATCAGGAAAGAAGTTTGTCAGAGATGCATCCTGTCTCCATACATTTTCAATCTGTATGCACAACAGATCATTCAGGAGGCAGGACATTATGAGTAGGAGTGTGGCATCAAGATTGAAGGAAGATTCATTAACAGTCTACGATGACACGACTTTGCTTGCTGAAATTGAAGAAGAACTTAAACACTTGCTGCAAAAGGTCAAGGTCTGTAGTCTTCAATATGGATTGAAGCTCAACATCAAGAAGACAAAAGATTCTCACCATCGGGCCAATTGGTAGCACCATATTAGATGAATAAGAGATTGAGGTTGTTAGCAATTACAGCTTGCTCAGATCCATAATCAACACTCTTAACACCAGCAGTCAGAAATCAAAAGACGAATTGCATTGGGAAAACCTGCTGTCATAGACCTCTCCAGAGTGCTAAAGAGTAACAATGTCAGTCTAGATACAAAAGTGCGCTTAATCCAGGCCATGGTCTTCTCAATTACATCTTATGCTTCAGAGAGTTGGACAATGATTAAGGGTTACAGAAGAATAGATGTCTTCAAGTTGTGTTTCTAAAGAAGACCATACCATGGACTGCCAAGAAAACAAACTGGTCTGTCTTGGAGAGGGTGAAACTAAGTCTCGCCTTAGAGGCTACGATTTTGAAGCTATGCCTCACTTTTGTGGGCAGGAGAGATTGGTCCTTGGAGAAGGACATCATGCTCGGAAGGGTGGACGGACAGCACAGGAGAGGAAGATCCCGGATAAGATAGATTGATACAACGACTGGAGCAATGGGGGTTGATGTGTCAGAAAGAGTCCAGAATGAAGGCTGCATAGTGGAGTGCACTCGGCAGGGGGGTGAGGGGGTGGGGAGGGATTGTATACCAATAAAAGACTTTTTCTTTTACTTTTCAAAGAGAAGAACGAACTGGGGAGAGAGGTGGACAGGGAGAAAAATGCAATAATGAATGAACAGAATCCAAAGTCTCTGTAAATGTTCCTTTAATAATAAAAAAAAAGAATTAGTGAGACTGGCTCAGGACAGAGAAGGGTTCAGAGCTGCTGTACACAGGGTCATTAAGCATCACAGGCCACTCAATGGCACATAGCAACAATAACACATTATGACAGGTTTGGAAGTAGGAGTGGCATCCACTTCCTGAACAACATGCCTCCGGAAACTCTATGAACTTTGATAAATGTCAATAGTTGTAGAGGGGCTCCAGACCTTTTGTTCATAGGGTCACTATGAGTCATGCTCAACTTGAAGGCAATCAATACCAACAGTACTCAATGGTGGAAATTAATTTGATTGACACTTAGGTTGTTGCCATCTGTTTGCTATTGTGGATAATGCTGCAATAAACCAGGGTGTGTTCATGTCACAGCTACTATTTCTTTACCTTGTATATAGGAACAGAGGGAGCTCTGGTGACCTGTTGTTAGGTATCCTCAAGTCAAATACAACTCATAGTGAACCTGTGAACTACAGGCCTAAACCCTGTCCTATCCTGTATAATTTCATCATTTCTGACACACTTAAGCCCATCGCTGCAGTCACATTGTTAATCCATTTCATTTGGGGTCTTCCTCTCTATTACTGATCCCCCACCTTTCCAAGTATGATGTTCCTTTCTAAGGAATAGCCTCTTCAAACAATGTGCACAAACTTCAAGATACAAAGCTTCACCATCTTTGCCTCCAAGAAGAACTCTGGCTGCACTTTTTCCAAGATATATTCATTCTTTTGGTAGTTCATGAGATATTCAGTACTCTTCTCCAACACCACAACTCAAAGGCATCCGCTCTTCTTTGGTCATCCGTTTTTGTTCTCTAGCTCTCAGTTGCATAGCAAGTGATTGAAAATACCAAGGCCTATATCAGGAGCACCTTAGTCTTCAAACTGATATCATTGCTCCTCAGTAATTTGGAAAAGTCCCTGACAGCGGACTTCCTAATTCAATATGTCTCCTGATCTCCTGCCTGCTGATACCAAGGGTATTAATTGTGGATCCAAGCCAGATGAAATTGTTGAAAATGCCAGTTCCCCCCCCCCCACATCATGATGTTGCTTATTGGTCCAATGGTGAGGATTTTTGTCTTCTTGATGTTGAAATGCAACTCATATAGAAGGCTGTAGTCTTTGATCTTCTGCAGCAAGCACTTCAAGTCCTCTTCACTTCCAGCAAGCAAGGTTGTGTCATCTTCATAACACAGGTTGTTGATGAGTCTTCCTCTGATCCTGATGTCACATTCTTCATAGAGTGAACTTCCAAATTATTTACTCAGAGGGAGAAGGATGGGAAATCTCTTCTAGCATGATTTACTGCTTCTGAAAACCTACCAGAAGGTCACTATGGGTTGGTTCCAACTTGATGGTAAACAAGATACAGAATTAATAGATGCATGCATAGATATGGTGAAAGGATGCAACCCTGAAGCAAACCCTTTTTTATTTTAAGCCATGAAATGTTCCCTTGCTCAGTTCAGACAAGATAGAGATTTCACATGAACACAGTTAAGTGTTCTGGGATTTCCATTCACCTCAATGTTTGCCATAGTTTGTTATGATCCACATAGTCAAATGCCCTTGCACAGTCAATAAAGAACAAACAGACCTTCTTCTGGTATTGTGTTTTCAGTCTGGCAACACAAAGGAAGCTACTCCATGGAAGAAAGATGGGCAATCTTTTCTGTATGATTTATAGCCTCTGTTGTCATGTAGTGTCAAGGGAGTTCTGGTGGCCTAGTGGTAAGAAACTGCACTACAATCCCAAAGGCATGTGGTTCAAATCCACCAGCAGCTCCATGGGGCAATCTCCTCCTATTTGATTAACTGCTCTGAACACCTGTTGGAGGGTCAGCTATAGTTTGGTTCTGGCTTGATAGCACACAACAACAACAGTGTACTGTTGAATCAGAATCAATTCATAGTTGACCCTCCAGTGAGTTTTCACAGGCTATAAATCACATGAGAGAAGACTGCCCATTATTCTCCTGTGGAGCAACTGGTGGATTTATACTATGTACCTTTGCTTTGGTAGCACAGTTCCTTACGACTAAGCCATCAGAGGTGATTATACCATTTTATATTCTCACTTGCAGTGCATGAGGTTTCCAATATCACTATACCCTTGCTAACATTTATTGTTTACTGTTGAACTTTTCTATTTGTGCAAGAATGAGGTGATATCTCCTAGTTGTTTTGATTGAAGAGGACTCTGGTAGTCTACTGGTTAAGGAATTGTGTTCTCAACCAAAAGGCTTGAATCCATCAGCCATTTCGAGGGAGAAGTATAGGCAATCTCCACCTTCTCACCCCTGCAATTTACAGTCTTTAAAAACTCTCTGAGGGTCAGCTATGAGTCAGGTCTGATAGAATGGCAATGAGTTGGGTTTTTTTGTTGTTTTGATTTGCATCTCTCTAATAGACAGATTTGGAAGCAAGAGTGGCATCCACTTCCTAAACAGCATGCCTCCGGAAATTCTATGAACTTTTTAAAATGTCGATAGTTGTAGAGGGGTTTAGGCCTTTTGTTCTAGGGTCTCTATGAGTCCTGCTTGACTCAAAGGCAACCAATAACAGTAGCAACAATAGAGAGCACTGGTGGCCTAGTGGTAAGAAGCTGAGCTGCCATCCTGAAGGCACACTATTCAAATCCACCAGTTGCTCTGTGGGAGAAAGATGGGCAATCTCCTTCCATGGGATTAACTGCTTCTGAAAACCCACTTGAAGGTCAGCTATAGGTCTGTTCTGAAGGTACACAACAATAGGTAGTGGTCTTGAGTACTTCCTTTGTGGGTGTTGGCTATCTGAATGTCTTTTTTCATTACTTTTTTCCTATCTTCTGCTCATTTTGTAACTGAGTTGTCTTTTCTTTGTGGTGCTGGTGTTTTCTATAAATTTTAGCAATCAGCTCCTTATCAAATATGAAACTGCTAAATGCTTTTACCTACTCTGTAGGCTGTACTTTTGAAAATTTTTTAAAAACTTTAGATTTTTTTTTTTTAAAAAACTTTAGATTTAATTTTTAGAAGATCTCATCTTCTTCTGGTTGTACATTTTTGTTCTATTTTATAGTCCTATTTATGCTATAGATTGTTTTTATTGTTAGGTGCTATTGAGTTAATTATGTCTCCA